TAATGTATTTATAATGCATTATAATTTAAGAAATATTTTTTTAAAACTTAGTTTATATCATTCTATGAAGTTATAATTTGTATCTTATACATTTATTTTTTTTTACATGATTTTAATTACTGCATCTATGACTAATCCATTTGGCCCAACTGAAAACATTAGCCGCCGCCTATACCTTGTGTTAACATTTGTCTAAAAACATCAACAAATAAAACACTTAATAACTATTTTCTTTCCATTTATTTAATGTTTTTTTTATTTATTTTCAGGTTCCAAACTATAATCATATTAAATCCTTATAACCCTATTCCCCAATTTTACCGACATTTTTGTAATAGAATGGATTTTCTTCATTTATAATATTTTGATTCTGATCTATACTAATATAAGATTTTATAATTACATAATGTGTTATTTAATTTGAAAGATCAAAGGTATGATTTTGTTTTCCATTATCCTTAATTGCTTAACGGATGTCGGAAACAATCTGCCTATGTGTTCTTCAATAAGATCCTGGTAATCTCGGATTGAAGTTTTAATTCTGAATTTGACAATTATACTTAGTATTCTTTGACCAACACAATATCGAGTATTATGTACTTATGTAAGGATAAATGTGTATCTTGTTACTCGGACAGATCTGGCTTGTGGCCTTTAATAAAGAAACATAATTTTTTAATTAAAAGTATATGTAGGATGTACACATATTTATACTTGTATGAGTAGGTACTTAAAAACTATTCAATTGAATTTGACCAAAATCTCAGAGATTGTTTTTAGAGATGTCAGAAAAGTTAAGAAAGTATAAGAACTAAGTATAGCCTAAGGCACGTTAAGAATTATACCAAAGTACTAAATCCAATCCACGCCTTTCGGTCGCCCCTCCTAGGACGAAGAATTTCACAGGGCTAGGGACACCGACACCGATGACCGATTTGTCTACGAACCAGTAGCGGCTTGAGTCTTCATAACTCAAGGAGCAAGTTAATAAGCAACCCACCCACCCACCAGCTGCATTTACTAGGACCAATGTAATATTTTTAGGTTCTTTTTTAGTTAAATTGTTCATTAACATTTACAATTTAATATTTATAATATAGATACACTTATTTTTTACTTGAATGATCTTCTGTTATGAATTATAAACAAACCCGCTAAACTTAAAACATTTTCTTTCCCGATTTTCGGGGCAGCAGCAGTCGCTCCTAATATATTCTCATGACAAGCCGCCCCTACCACGAACTAAGAAGATAGATACACCTATACAGCGTACATACAATGTACGATTATTCTAAATTGGATTTGCCAAACAAAGCAAAACTGCACAGGAGCGAAACTGGGATATTCAGCTGGTATAGGTATTAGTGTAATATCATTGCTATTACATATATTAATTGGACATAATGAATATCATAAATATTTAGAACATCCAGTGCTAATTTTCTCACAATCAGAATTAATAATTATATTATTTATGTTAACTAACTGTCGTTCAAAGTGCAATTTGTAACAATTTTGTTTCTGCTACGATTAATACAAATGAATCTGTACGCACAGAGAGTGAACGCGTTTTATTGCACTTACAAATAACAATTATAGTGTATAACGTAGTCGTCTACTCCTCTTTAACAGTTGATTTAACAGTCGAGTTTACCTACCCAATACAATAACGTGTGTTTTCAATAATATTATAGAAATACTCATCTCAACATTTCCTTGAGGTTCAAAATAGTAAAAAAAAAAAAGGTCATGAGGAATTGTAGTGGCGTTTTTATGGGAGGGGGTTGCAACAGGTGCAGCCCCCCCCTGCCCCCCAAAAAAGACTTAATTTTTTATACATAAAGCATTTTTTGAATCTAACATTTTCACAATTTCACAAACTTGTTCGTAAAATATTCGCAATAATACATGCTAGCATTTAGCCACGTGCTCCAGCGAGTGATGACTGACTCTGGTGGTAAGGGGATATTTGGGGCATGACGCATGTGTCTTGAATATCTGGATGCGAGAAGTCGCTTTTTTAAATTTTGAGTAGGTACAGTTGTAAATTTGTATAAAAATAAATACGAGCGAGTCGGCGAAATCTCAGTTTCTCATTACTATAGAGATAATAATATTACTGTTGAGGGCAATACAATAATAGCCGTTGATGAATTAATTTATTTTGTTGAACGGTATACAACTAAGAATTTCATAGATCTAATATTTTTTTGTTAAACTATACATTTCTAAAAAAATTCCTTAAAATCTATGAAATATGCATATAAATGTTCTTAAACCCAAAATATGCTAATTCGTACAAAAATGAACAAAATATGAAAAGTTGTGCAATAAAAATTGTTGTATTTGAAATGAACATACTATGAACCGAATTCGTATCGAATCAGAATTTTAATATGCACTTTCTAGACAAATATGCAAACGCCTAAAGTTTCGAGCCTTGCTAATGAGCAATGACTATAGTTAGGCCGTTGGGTCCTGGAAATATTGTTGATATAACGGATATGAGGTTTAGTCGATACCTATTTTACAGCAAAGCGACTTCCGTTTTTCATTTTTATTTTCACAGGTAATTATTTATTTCGTGTTAAATCATTAAATATTTAAATGTAGTGAAATTTGTATTGTTGACCGCATGAGCATATTATACTTTTTTATTGTTATTATGTACCTATTACGGTGGACCATAGTTAATTTGTAAACAGCGTATTGGAAGATGCCAAGCCGAATGATTTGAATGTCTATAAAATATAAATAGCACAACAAAGTTGAAATGTTTTAAACATTATACCTATGTAGAACGTCTTAAGTTCTGTAATGAATACTATTTTTAAATAATTATGGAATTACAAAAATAATTTGAAGATTAATCGTTATTATATATAGGTTTGATTGAGTTTGAATATACAAAGCTATAAAAATTTGAATTTCAAGTGAATATATTAAAGGTAAGCAGACCCACGAGGGAGGGGGGCAGAAGCGCGGGTAAGTGAATATCGTTCTGCTGTAGATTTGGGCCCTTTTCTCCGAAATCTATTTCGCCGAAACACAATTAAATAGAAAAAAATTAATTTATCATTTTACATATTTAGTAAAAATATATAAACATTCATCCAAACATTTTGAGTTTGACTCGAGATGGAAGTGGTAAATTAGGTAACTAGATTCACTTTCTTGCCCAGAAAAGTCGCTGTTAGAGAAAATCGATGCACTTTTACTGCCCAAACCGTGACGACAGACGCAAAAAACAAAATAAAAAAACACACATTTAAAAAAATCAATATTCATCTCTCCACTCAAAATCTAAAAATACAAACTGTACACATTTACAATATAGAATTTTAAAATTGTATGTCCTTGTCCCTTGATTTCCCTCCCCCCCCAATTTGCGCCTATGGTCCTAAGGTACTTCTGATCCCCCTCCTATTACCAACTAGATTCAATTTTCAACTAGAAACCACCATCAAAGTTGAAGATTAAAGCATTTTTAATTTTCATCACAAAAAAAAACACATCGTTAAATAAATATCTATATGGGTACTTGGGGTACATTCATTATTTCACGGCATCTTAGTTAGGCAATCTCACTACATCAGTGTGATCATATTCCATCTTAAGTGGTTTGTTAAAAAAATATAATTTCTACATTAATTGTCTTTTTTTAATTATTGCTATAATTTTGTTATGAGATGAATTATTTTAAATTGTTCTTCAGTTACAGAATCTTATCACATATATATTAGGAGCAGTATTGTAATAATATAATTTAGGTAGCTATTACATGTGCTAAGCATGCTGCCGAACACAATTCATTACAGTAATTAATAAGTATAATAACATAATGTAGGCGGATGCAAATCGATAATGGCCAAACAATAATTAAATTCATAATATATTAATTTTGCATGGGGCCATAGCCACATAAATATAAGAATATATTATTATTTATTATACTACTAAATATAATATTAAAACACAAATAAATAATATTTATGAACTTAATCATATCAACACTTCAAAGTTCAGAGCTCTTAACAAATATCCCAAAACGGGGAACCAAAGGAGTGTGGGCAACTAGCAATCACATGATATCCGTACCCAGGCTAAACTATCAGCCCCCCACGGGTGTCATCCCAATATTTGCAGGGTAGGGGCGTATGGCATAATAATAAGTATAACACTTTTAAGTAGGTAAATAGTTCTCTCGCCAGGTCACTCAACTACCTTTACATAAAGTTATAATTATAATATACATAATACACTTAAAGCACTATACCTATCTATATTTGTCATTTATCCTATGCTGAACAACTGATTTTTGGAAACTGTGCTCATCACTCTGGAGACCAATTATTATTATTCAGTGTTGAGTAACTTACTAACTTGTATATCTTAAATTGTGGTACTAATAGTAAGTACTAAGTAATAATATACCTAAACAGCATATTATTCTTTATCTAGACATACTTAGTATGATTGAACTCGACTTATCATAGAGTACTGAAAAATCATTTTCTGTTCACAACGATTTGTATTACGTACACACAACAAATCTCAATACGTATAATATAATTAATTCATTTAAAATATATGTACTTTAAGTTGTTCAAGAAGTGAAATTTATATTTTTTATAAAATAAATCCAGTTATTTTTCTGCATTTCCCACTATCACAGAACTATTTAGTGACGTTTTCTGCTGGAATGCTTTGCTGCTCACCTTACTAAAATATATTATATTATACAGTCAGTATTTAAGTATATGTTCAGTGTTTTTTTTTTATCAATTATATTAATTGTTTAAAACTTTTATACAATTATAGTTTAATTTATCATATTCTTCCAGTCTTAGTTTAAAATGTTCAAACTGAAAGCTGATTAAACTCAATGTTTTATTCATATTGATAAGTGTTCACTTAAGTAATATGATCAATTAAACAACTAAGGGTGATTAATAAGGCATGGTATAAGGTAAAAAAATTGTATTTATTAGATAATAACATAAAGGATAAATGTTACCATTGTTTCTCAATAAGATAAGGAATACATTTTATTAAATTTAAGGAATGTGCATAATTTTAGATTAGTTTATTAATCAACCTCTTCAATAGTTGGGCCAGCACCTGCACCAGGAGCTCCAGCACCACCATCACCGCCGGGGAAACCTCCTGGCATACCACCAGGGAAACCTCCTGGCATACCACCGGGCATGCCACTAGGCATACCACCTCCAGCTCCAGCATACAATTTTGTGATGATTGGGTTGCAAATGGCCTCTAATTCTTTTTGCTTGTGTTCATATTCTTCTTTTTCAGCCAGTTGGTTAGCATCCAACCACTTGATAGTATCGTTGACTTTATCCATAATTGTGGTCTTGTCGGTATCTGGAATCTTGTCCTTGATTTTTTCATCTTCCATTGTGCTCTTCATGTTGAAGCAGTAGGATTCCAAGCCGTTCTTGGCTGCAATAATACCTTTCTGTTTTTCGTCTTCATTCTTGTATTTCTCGGCATCATTAACCATGCGCTCAATATCTTCCTTGCTCAAACGTCCCTTGTCATTAGTGATGGTGATCTTATTTTCTTTGTTGGTGGACTTTTCAATAGCGCTAACATTCAAAATACCATTGGCGTCAATGTCAAAGGTGACTTCAATTTGAGGGACTCCACGTGGTGCAGGAGGAATAGCAGTTAGCTCGAATTTTCCCAACAAATTGTTGTCTTTGGTCATAGCACGTTCTCCTTCATATACTTGAATTAAGACTCCAGGTTGATTATCAGAGTAGGTAGTGAAAGTTTGGGTCTGTTTAGTTGGGATGGTTGTGTTACGCTTGATGAGAGCAGTCATTACACCACCAGCAGTTTCAATACCCAAAGATAGAGGGGTGACATCAAGCAACAATAAGTCTTGGACTTCTTCAGATTTGTCTCCGTGCAAGATGGCGGCTTGCACTGCTGCACCATAGGCTACAGCTTCATCGGGATTGATGGATTTGTTCAACTCTTTACCGTTGAAGAAGTCTTGCAACAATTTCTGTACTTTGGGGATACGGGTAGAACCTCCAACCAACACAATGTCGTTGACGGCAGATTTATCCATCTTGGCGTCACGCAGAGATTTCTCTACTGGTTCCATGGTGCTACGGAAAAGATCAGCATTCAATTCTTCAAAACGAGCCCGAGTGATAGATGTGTAGAAATCAACACCTTCAAACAAGGAATCAATTTCAATGCTTGCTTGGGTGGATGAGGAAAGAGTACGCTTTGCACGTTCACAGGCAGTCCTCAAACGTCTTAGGGCTCTTTTGTTAGTGGTCACATCTTTCTTGTACTTGCGTTTGAACTCTTGCACAAAGTGATTGACCATTCTATTGTCAAAATCTTCTCCACCCAAGTGAGTGTCTCCGGCAGTCGATTTGACTTCAAATATACCGTCTTCAATGGTCAAGATGGATACATCAAAAGTACCACCACCCAAATCAAAGATCAGAACGTTGCGTTCTCCAGATGTTTTCTTATCTAGACCATATGCAATGGCAGCAGCTGTAGGTTCATTGATGATACGCATTACATTCAAACCAGCAATGGTACCAGAATCTTTGGTAGCTTGACGTTGGGAGTCGTTGAAATATGCAGGTACAGTGATAACTGCGTTTGTTACCGTTTTTCCTAGGTAGGCTTCAGCAGTTTCTTTCATTTTGGTCAAAACCATAGATGATACCTATAAACAATTAAAAAATTATTATTATTTGTTATTATTTTATATTTAATAATTTAATAGGTACCTCTTCTGGTGAGAAGATTTTGTTTTCTCCTTTGTAGGAAATTTTGATCTTTGGTTTACCACTATCACTGATTACTTCAAAAGGCCAGTGTTTCATATCAGCTTGTACAGTTGCATCTTCAAAGCGTCTTCCAATCAATCGTTTAGCGTCTTTAATTCAAAATATTAATTATAATAGAATAATACACATTGATCAAAATATTAGGTGCTAATTACTTACCGAAGATTGTGTTGTTGGGGTTCATAGCAACCTGATTTTTAGCAGCATCACCAATGAGACGTTCAGTATCAGTGAAACCAACATAACTGGGTGTAGTACGGTTTCCTTGATCATTAGCAATGATCTCTACTTTACCATGTTGGAAAACACCAACACACGAGTAGGTTGTACCCAAATCAATACCAACAGCTGGAGTTTTGGCTGCCATTTTAAATTAATATAGGGAGTTCTTTTAAGATTATAGGAATGAATTAAGTCTTGATATGACTTGTCCTGGAAAAAAATTCAGTTTGTTTATTAGTAAATGGTAGGCAGTCATTTGAACATTAAAATATTACTTAAAATTAGGTTACAAGGATATGAGATAAGTCTTTATTTTTAATTTTTAATGAAGCAATAATGCAACAATGGAGGAAAATTAATAAACTATAATCATGGGGTTCATTTATGGTAATGAATATTTATTGATATCCAATGGCTATTAAAACGATAGTTTTCAATATAAATAATTATGTATTTGCGTAATTTGTAAATATTTATTTTTGGAACAGTGTATGTGATGAAGAAGTCTTGTTTGAAGATAAATGACAGAACTTTGTGGCATTGTGTGGTTATTTTTATTCAATAATAAGGTTAAAATACTTAAGACCATGTATATAAACACTTTTTTGGAATAACTTGGGATATTACAATCCATTGAATAAGTAGATAATTAAAAAAATAATGAAAGTTCATTAAATGATCTATTTGTTAAATAAAGTTGGATGTATGAAGAAACTTTAAACATCAACATTAAAGTTACATCACACAACAAAAGGCAGTTCTACTAAAGCATCTACTTAACCTATTTATGAAGCTTAGTAGAGAACAAGTCATTTAAAATTAATATTTAATATGATTCACATTAAATCACATGACATAATGTGTTATTAATTTAAACATATAAATGTTTTAATACCTTTTTAATAGATTATCTGTTGATAATCTTACTTTATTTAAGTGTTTCGTGTATTTTGTTGTTTTCCCTTCTCAAATTAAATTGAATTATTGCTCTCAAGAAAAATAGAATTGGAATTATAAAAATGAAATATTAATTTTTAAGGTCATGATGACTCATGAAGGATATGACTAAGGAATAATAAATTATACCTACAGTTAACACGTTACACTTAATATAATTGAACAACTTAGTATCCAACTAAAATATTTAATATTCATAAAGACAAAAATGTATATAACATTCTTGAATAAATTACAAAATTAAATTTTATCTATTTGGTTTAATATTTGTTATAATTTATTGATGAATAGTTGTGAGCTTACCCACAATTTTATTATCTATTGTTTGTTTAAACTCGGGTCACTTTAAGAAGATACCTTGTCATACTGACAATGGGACTCGTTCCACCCCTCATAATTTAGCCATGGTAGTATGGTACACTTAGTTTGGTTATGTTAGTATTTGTAACACCGCCAGGGTATCTTTTTAAAGTGTCAGGTGTATAATATAATATATAATAAATATTCTTTTTTACTGGTTACTTATAGGAAAAAACAATTTGAAGTTTCCAATATAACAGAAAGTTTTAGTAAAAGCCAAAGATAAAAAAAAAAATAATAAACAAGAATCTGAAGGTCATGTAGGGAATATAGTTGTAATTATTATGATTTACTTCAGCATACTTTATTTAGAAGTATAAAAATAACCTAACCTTTTATTTGTATAAATCTTGGAGAATATAAGTTTCATATTGCAAATTCATATTATGATTTAGATCATTTTGTTTAAAAATGAATCGATAATAGTATGTTTTTATATTATTTTATATGTAGCAATATTAAATAATAAACATTTTAAAAAAGTGTGGGGGACATGTCTGCAAAAAAAGCATTGGGAATAGATGAAAACAGACGGGGAGGGAGGGGGGAAGGGACGCGAATAAATGTTCATTTATTCGTTGACACAATTAAAAAATATTAATAACTCAAATTTAAATTTGAAATCTTCAATCAAGTCCACTATTTACTAAAGCTATTGATTGTTTTATGAAAATATGCGATTATGAAATTGGATTTTTTGGATTTTAAATTAGGTACATAATATGGGTAGGTATGAAAATTAAACAGAAATCAATATGGAAGCGATTACGGTTTGGAATCTAAGGACAGTGGAAGTAAAAACCGGTGTAACAAAAAAGTAATGAATCCGACCGCGATCACGTGATAATAAAACAACAACTGCAGCTGAGGAGGTGCGGCCATTTTTACCCGCCATTACCGGTAAAAACACGCGCGCAAGTAGTTTTCGTGGTAAGCAAAAGAAATGAGGCCACAGCGAAGCGATATGGTCACAGGCCGTGGGCACGAGAAGAGACAATTATTTACGGACATATTTTGCGTAATTGTGTGTAATAACGAAGAATAAAAACTTACCAAAAAGTTAGGAACAGAACAACCGCAAACAAACTCGGTGGATAGCGAGCGACGACGGTCAACGGTGAAATGACTAGGGCGCTGAGCAGACGGCAGTTGGCTTGTCGTTGACTAAATAATTGCTTGACTGCTTGATGTATAGACTGGCGGAGCGAGCAACGAAAACACGGAATATTCGATAACTAAAACAACTCACCCTCGGGTAGACGTTTCGATTGGTGGGTTTACTCAGTTACCAGATTAACGGTTAAATCCCCTCCCCCACAGATGTTTTGAGAACACTCTAGAAGATTCTAGAAGATACTATATGAAATATTATAGACGGTCTTTGTGGTTGTTTTTAGTTTTTTCACTTCGTTTTTGTTCATGGAGTAAGAACTGTGGTATATTAAATAGGTATGTCAGCAATATCCTGGTTTCTGAGCAAATTGCGCATCCACCTCCACCCAGCCTTAAAATGTGACGTAATCATTTCACTGTTTCTCATTGGTCCACCGCCGCGACTATAGCCACCCCGGCACAAGCACAACTGCTACATATCTTTTCTGTTTTACTAAAGGTACCACACTATTGTTGAAGCGGAAAACTCATAGCGCACGAGTACTAATAGTACCTACTAAAACAGTGATACTAATGACTGAATTTATTGATTTTACAATGATATGTGTGTTTTTATATATATTTTTGTTGTGTCTGTCATCACGGTTTTCTCGCAGTAAAAGTGCTTCGATATTCTTTAACAGCTACTTTTCTGATAGGAAAGTGAACCTAGTTGGTGCATTCGGGAGGTCAAAATTTAAAATTCCCAATAGCTTTTAAAAGCAACAGGAAAAAAAAACAAAAAAATCAAGGAAAAACGGGAATTTTCAAGCAAAACCAATTTTCGAAAAAATCGATTTTGGTTTTTAGTGTAACTTTAAAAAAAAGATAGCAGATATACATGAAATTTTCACTGAATATTTGTGTGAGCATTTTCTAAACACCATGCAATTTTCAAAATGTTTGACTCGTGTTGAATTATTTATACGTATATGCATTTTTCGTTTGTTATTTGTTTTTTTTAAACTAATGTCGATAAGAAATTTTTCCCTCAGTCAAAAATTTGTAAATGTAATACAAGGTTCCTTGTCAGTTCTCGTTAGTGTACATTAAAAAAAAAGTTGAGCGTGAATAAACAATAATTTTTATGAGAGTTTAAACTTAGAATTTTCACTAAATCCTTAAAAATTACGAAAAAATGGAAAATTATACTTAGTTAGAAATTCATAAAAAAAAATTTTTATGTCTAAGATTTAAAAATTGAATATGAGATTCCTTATAAGCTTGCATTGTTTTGTGTTTTTTATCAAAAAAAAAAATTTCTACCGGAAAGTCAAATTAAATTTTTATGAGTGTTTTAAGTTGAAATTTTTACAACATTGGATATTCACTAGATTTTTCTTGTCGTGATTTTTTTATTTTGTTATATAATTTTAAAAAAAATACTGTAGACACCTGAAACTTACACCATATATTTATTTCATCAATTCTTATACTTTATAAACTTTTCAAAATATTTTAACTCATTTATAAGCGGTCGTCGGACATAGTAAATTTTCATTTTTAAAAATTGTATTTTATATGCATAAATACAGTTATTTTTTACAGACATTTTAAGTTCAAATTTGGACGGAATTGCAAATAAACACAAACAATAAATGAATAAAGTTTATCATTTTGTTGTAATTCGGTTCCAAGACACCCCAACTTTACATATAGGTATATTTCATACTTTTCTAGCATCACTGATAATTTAAGAATAATATAAATCATAATATTAATTCAACTTATCTATTACCGTATTAATAATAAGTATTAACAATATAAAATATCATAGACTGACATACCGTCTCCACTCAGAATCGTTTTTCGTATAAAATGATATGATATCAATTATCAACATTAATGAATTCAAATTTAATACCATCCATTACATTGACCTCCTATAGACACCTAATGTGCAGCAGCTTTTTATACTTAATTATATAACAGTACGAAATACCACCTTCGATTATCATGTAAGTATACAATTATTATTGTTATAAACTGTTATATTATTATTGTTGTACACTATTCATAGACATGTATACATCATAGACATATAAAACAATGTCTATGGTACCTATACATACAGTTCTGAATCGTATTGGAATTTGAAGTAGGTATACTTATTGTTGAGTTTAACATTGCTTATTATAATAATAATTAATAATACAATTATTATATGATTGGAGGTTGCAAATGAAATTATCATTTGATGGTAAAAGGTATTTAGTAAAATGACGATATTATTATCTATACCTATAAATTGTATGTACTATTTTCTATCTTGAATTATATTACCATTCTCGAATCTTAAGGTTAAAGTACCCTTACATTCTATATTTCTATCGTCTCAACCATAATTTGTTATGCCATTTATTCGATCACATTATCTTGGTAGACATATTTAGAACCTGACTAGGGTTTAGTTGACTCAGTTTAACTTTTCATATTTTAAATATTTTATCTGTATAAATTTGACCAGTAAAACCGCACATTATGTGATAAGTTGATAAGTTGATTTTTTATCAATTTTACGGTAACATTAGAGGACACGTCCAGTAGCGTACCCAAGTTATTTGGAGGGGGGGGGCTAAACAAAGTAAATCAGAATTTGATATCCATTACCTTAAAATAGATTGTTATTACTATATCCCATAACCGTAATAACCTCAACAAATAATTGATAATACGCAAATTGTTTCTTTAAAACTTTAGAAATATCTTGGTCTGTACTTTGCCTTTTATTACATATGATTTATACCATGGAACGGCCTATGGAAGGGGGGGGGTCTAGGATTTTGTTTGGGAGGGAGGGGCAAAATTTTTCTTTTTAATAATAATATAATGTTATAAATTATAATAATTAATAATAACACTTACATAAACATAAATGCAGGTCAGTATAAAAGTTAAAAATATTTGTGCATAAAAAAATACGAATATGTTTTTATTTTTACTTCATTACTCAATATTTTACGTCACAAATTTTGCTAACACATCTGATTGGCGATTGGGTGGGGAGGGGGTATTTTGGTCTCCCCTAAATCCACGACTGCCTCATACCTATTAAAAAGGTAGGTACAGCATCAATTAAAACACTGGTATTGCTTAACAACTTGTTAAATTATGGACGGCAGTCGGCAGATAGAGTGTATAAAGGACAAAGGTACTTTTAAGATTGCCTTTTACAAACAATGCGATTTTCAGGTACAATAATCTGGATGTAATATTTGTGTTACCTAGTAATTGTGATTTAAAAATGGAATAATTTATTAAATAGTCTCAAGAGTTTTAGTACAGAAGTGATATGACCTAAATGAATTCAAAAGTTACAAAAAAAAGACATTTACATATGTAATATAACAATTAGGAGAAATAGGTTATAAACTTTGCTTTAAAAACAAAATATGTGTACAACAAATAATAACCTAGGTCTACAACAGTAGCCAAATAGTGAGATAACATACTTGAATACATTTTCTATAATGTAAACTACGAAAAAAAACTAAACAGTATAACAACTTACATGACAAGAATATAGATATCTAATTAATTTATGAACACCATTAAAAATGAACATTTAAAAAAAAAATACACATTGATGTCAGTCTGTACACTCTATGTGGCAAAATATATCGAATACAATAAATAAAATAAGTAAAATGTAAAATAATAAGTAATAACAAATTTAATATAATATTACAATTTAAGTCAGTGGACAGTTTATTTTCATATAGTTATTTATTTATATTTTTCTCAATAATTTTGAATGTTACATTGTAATAATAATTATTTTAAAAATATTTTCAAACGTATTTTCATAAATATAATGTATTTATGTCGAATGTACCTATGGTCAGATAATTAAATAATATTGGATGTTATGTTAGAGTATCATCATTTAAGTTCAAAAGTTCAATGGGTTCAATATTCCGTTATAATATTATGCTATTTATGCATGTATTCACTCGTTTATCATATCTATTAAATTTTTAATTAATTAGCACCTTTCCCATTCAATTCGTCAATTGGTCAATTCAAATTTCAAGTTAATTTATTGTACCTATTTGTATGTACGCAATAACAACTTATACTAAGATTTACATTTTTTACTATGATTTATGAAATATTGATATTTCTAATGAAAATAAAAAAAAATGTTAGTACTATACTCTGTTCTTTCGTGGCATATTTTATATAATATGATGTTTACAAATAGGTACAACACTTACATAGAATTTTTTACAATATATTTCGGTATAGTTTTAAAATACGTTCAAAAATATTTTTTCTTGGTAAAAATTATTGTAGATAATAAAGATTAAAAAGAGTACTCGGAAGTTTGAATTCGATTTCAAAAGTATTTAAAAATAAAATTTCGTTAAGTTTCTACATTATTATTCTTTGATTATATTTTATAAAATTAATGTAATATTGTAGATTTATTATTGTTTTATACATATAGCATTTTAGTAATTTGCACAGATAAATATATAGCTTGTATGGATTAATAAGATTTGATAGCCTCGAAATATGAGGGTTTTGGACGCAAAATTCGTTGGGTATTATATAATTTTAATATAATATTATAGGATGACAAAATGTCGATTTTTTAAAAAGTTTCCTTTACAATATAACACATATAAATAAATATATTAAATTTATATAAACTAGTAAAAATATTTTCAAAAAACACATCAATAAAAAAAATAGGTACACGCCTAACTGTAAACGTACCCAATAATAAATTACTATACAGATATACGTACACAATAATATATATTATAATTTTTATCATCATAGTTATTAATAAGTTCCATTTTAAATTAATGAATTTATAAAGCTACAAGTCTCGTTTATCTTAAATAACAGATACGGCCCTTCAATGATAAAATTGCCCGGTTTCTGAACCAATAAAAAGAAAGAGAATGTGTGTATTATAATATATAATATTTAATAAATATCACAGAGTCATATTGACCCAAAAATAGGCCTACCCTAATACTTATTGCCTATTCGTTGATCCCAAAATCATGAAATATGTCAAAAGTATTGTTGTGAATACATGAAAGTAAGATTAGTGAAATAAAAATGAACCTCACCCCTACGGTATGTTGTATATACAAGGTGTATAACTGTAATATAACGTTCAATAATTTATTAGCTGGTAAAATATCTACAATACGAAATGAGAGAAAATGTTTTAGAAAAAAACAAATATTGCTATAATATCTACCCATATTTATAGGTACCTATTAAAAAATGTTTTTTTCAGTAAATATAAACCACATAATAATGCAATATTATATCATAATATGTGTATAATCATAATACAATGTTTGATGTTAACGAGCTAACGTGTGACCGGTATCTTGAAAGAGAACGAAATGTTTTTTGAAACGGTAACTACTAAATTACGTTATTAAATTTTGTAAGATTGGTTTGCAGTTTTTAATGAATGATAAATCGACGGTGAGATCCTTTCGAAACACCCCTGAAACGGCTGAAACTAACAGCAACGGTGTATCTTTTGTGCCTATTATATTTTATTCAAATTTTATTCTGTTTGGTCGCGGTCTCGGTGTTTCGTATTCGTCCGGTAGATCGGTTTTTTTTCGCAAACGTAAATTCATTGTATAATAATGTTGTCACCGGGCACTAGTCGATTGTCCGCGAATCGAGGGGCGACGATGATCATCATAATAATAAAAATAATGGGGACCCCGGATTTTGGTTTTTCCCCCTGAGTCCAGCGATATCTATTCGGTCTTACACAACTCCCCGTTTCATACATATATAATTCAAGTGCAGCGTATGCAAATAACAATACGTGTTTTAGTTTAGCACCAAATCAGGGAACGATAACCCTGATAGTTTAATATAATATAATATAATATAATATAAAAAGAAATAAAATGTTTACATAATATATAAATAGTACGTACCTACACGTACTTTACATTGTAAATCGATTTAAAATAACAATATGCCTCGGGACTTTCAGATAAGAGAGGGGTGAGAGAGGAGAGAAATAGAGAGAGTGTGTGTCTGAGAGAGAGCATAAACGGTTTCATTAAGCGGCTTGCTGACCGAACGGCCAGCGCCACATCAGCATCGTCCATCAACTGCGCGTACTGGTCAAGTCGACCAACAAGTATGTGAACAGCGGCAATTGTTTCAATGCTTTTACCTGATACTCGAGATTGTTAAGTCCGTCCGTTTTGAAACGTTTCCGGCCGCTGTACAACTTTTCGTACCTGTTTGACAAGCGTAAAACATAAACACACGCCGTTGTTATTATCATTAATGTTTTTTATTATTACTATTATTATTATTATTATTATGGAGTATGGTTATCACCATCATAAATACTGTACATAAAACCTACGCTGACACGTGGTTAATGTACCGTGACTATTGTTATTACCGTCATCCCCGGAGACGCATGTAGATTATATTAGTACCCACTACACAGAGTGATTATATTAACGCGAACCACTAGTCGTCGTCTGTTCAGGAAGAATTGATAGGTTTTTTTTTACGTATTTTTTCACCATCATATTATTTTTATTTTTATCCTCGAACTATATGTGATCGAAAACAGTTTATAGATTGTCGGTTTTCTATACGTTCATAGTCAGTACTGTTGTAAAAATTAGGGCATGTATAGAAATAAATATCACAGTTATGAAAAATATAGAATAAGCCCACTCTGTGTATATTATGATGTTACTTAAAAAAATAAATGTTAATTAAGCAATAGTTCAGGGGCGTCATTTGGGGGATGATTTTCATCAGCTTTCTTTTAAAACACCTTCTTCTACATGCCAACAATAAATATAAGAGCCGATATATTTAAGTGTTTCACATTATTTATTTCTATATTTTTTAGTGTTAAAAAAAATGTTTTGTGCTAATGTGTCTTATTTCAAAAAATATTCGATGTGATCCGAAATATTATAACTGATTGACAACCAGAAGAAAAATGATAAAAAAAACAATAGTATCCATGGAAAAATAGATATATTTTTTCATGATATTATTTATACTATAATTTGGAAGAATGAACATTTCATGGTCCACTTTTGATAATAGTCAAAAGTGTATGAATTGCCAGTCCGGGTAATAATGCCATATGTCACTATTAAAAATGTTGGCCCAGACACGTCTTGGTAAATAGCAACTCGGCTCGTAGCACAGAACAATAATAATTAATTAATTATGCTTTTAGACTGAAGTCCAGCGAGAAAACTCGCTGTTTTTACGCATGTTATTATTTACTCAAAGGCCTGAGCGGCCCTCCTACATACAACTAACCTAGGGCTGGCGGTATTTTCGGTATACCGATAAATACCGATATTTAAGAAATACCGGTATCCGGTATTTTCGGTATTTCAGAATACCGGTATACCGTGATTCGGTAATTACCGTTATTACCGAAAATACCCTACCCCGGTAATTACCGAAAATATTAGCATTTATTATTTATTATTTTTATATATTCATAATGACATAATATAATATTCTAAACTGCCAGTTTGCAGACCGTTACCCACATCTAGATCAGAGTTTCTCAACCATTTTAGAGTCGCGAATACCAAAAAATAGGTTAAAATAAAATCAGTTACCTCACGATCCCCTCCCTCTTTGTTTGTAGAAGTAATTTATTATTTTTCTAGAAACTACCCCTCCCCTTTTTACCATATCACAAAATATTGGGAGTCTTAAAGTCTTCAACAATAATAAATAATTAAACATGATTTTTAGATGTTAGAGGTAAATTTTCTTAGGTTGGAAACTTGGAAACACTAATAAATTTACCGAGATCCGGTATGTATTCCGATGTACTATATTTCCGGTAATTACCTCACATCGTTATTTTCGGTAATTACCGTGGTATGGTATTTTCGGTAATTACCGAAAATACCGTATAACCGGTAATACCGTAAATACCGGTAGTAAACAAATACCAATACAGGTATCAAAATTTTGAATACCGCCAGCCCTAACCTAACCTATAGCTATTGCCCGTGGATTGTTGGGACTTTATAATATTTGGCTACTCGTTATATCGTGATAATAAGAAAGTTTATAGATAATATAAGTGACATAATATTAAATAAATTATTCAAATATCGTATAGTTTTTATCCCCACTTAATCCCCCCCCCCCACACACACACATACAAAAGGGTGCCTATGTGGCCTGGTCATGATTTGAAACGGCCTGAACAATTTTTGGCACCAACATTAAAAAAGTTGAAATGACTCCTCTGCAATAGTTGTAGCACGCATACTTAGCACGGATAGTATTTTGCTATTATAATTGTAGGGAATCACCTATGTAGTGTGTAAACACTTTAAAGTCTGTCATTATATATTATAATAATATTAAATCCTCATCGAACATCACAACTCACGAGTATAATAATTAATAAATAATAGTATCCCTTTAGGTACGTCATTATGATGCACCATACACAAATATTGTTATTATAACACCAGTCTCAAGGCGACCGATGTGTCTGTATATTGATTTATCCCCATAGCTGCGAATGGAGACAGCATACGCGTTGTATAATATCATAATATGTTACCTATGCGTACATCTCTATATCAGTTACTCGCAAGACGTCATACCTGTAGGGCTGTACGTCATAAAAGTGCCAAAAACTTATAACTAATTATTATTTAGTAATTACCTTTCCCGGTACATAACAGTCAGCGAACGATTTGTTGTAATGTTGACACCAGTTCATTTATACAAAATGTGTAGGTACCTATACATTTGTACAACAGACGCCTAACCAAATTGATCCACCTAGGGGTGGCCATCTAGTAATTGGTTTCATGCACTTAAGAGATACATGAGAGGGGAGAGTTGAACGTACTCACAGAATGAAAATAAAAAGTTTTACAGAAAATAAAATGTGTAGGTAGATATTGATAGGTAAATAGTGCATTGTATGATTAATGAATTCAACGTTTAAAAATTATAACTAAATATTTAAAAAATAAAAATTCTTTGAATTTTTTATTAACACTCGTTCACTGGCTATGGATGAGTGATTACAATGGGAGCGACGTGTTTTTGTTTTATTTTTGGTTGAAAATACATTTTCCCTTATGATTTATGATATTAATTTAATTTGAAGTATCCAATATCTACGAGTATACGAGTATAGTATATTAGTAGAGCTCGGAAGTTGTTGGAGCTAAAACAGGCAAAATATGCACGAAAAAATGTAAAATATGCAAAAAAAATGTAATAAATATGCAAAAAATTATTCAAAGTTCATTAATCATTATTCAAAAACATATAATATCGTTATTTATAATCACAAAAAAAATTTATATTATGGAAAAATAAAATATGGCGCGAAACCGGTTGGCGTTTTGACATTTTATTGAACTAAAAAATAGTTAAAAAAATATATTTCCATTTTTTGTGAAGTCCAATGCGAAATAAATAAATGTTATATTTATATAGTACAAGCTAAGCTGTTGCATTAAACCATCAATATTTTCTTAAGATTTTAAATTTGAAATGACCTACAAATATTTGGCACTAGATTTTTATACGGAGTGTTGCGCCAAAGTCACTCCTACGAATAGTGCGGTTAGCGGCAACGACTTGCAGGTTATTAAGGGCTGGAAAAGGTAAGAACAATGCAAATGTATATAGCGCAATGCGCACAAGATATGCATTAAAAATTACACACTAATAATAACACAGATAAGCGCCTCTACATATGAAAATAAAAAAAAATAATATAATAATACGTATGCATGTATAATACGTATAACGAGAAATAACTCAAATGTCAATATGATTACATACGATAATAATAAAAATTATTTAAATATAGTTGACGGTGTGACACATTATTTACAATAGTACAATAACGCACCAACCTAGCTATTGCTGGCCGGCTTGTTACCCCGAACCACAATACAATTTAACACAAGTCCTGACTGATGACACTCTCGTGTCGCTATGGTTCTGAATTGATTAATTGATTGATCGAATCCGTGTCCCGTGATCTCCGCAATCGTAGATTATGCAAACTCTATAGGCTGGAAAGGCGACAGTTGGACTGGTCCTGGGTTCACAAGGACCCGTGATTGAACTTAGAGCACGTCGATTAATCTCTGCGCAAGGCAGCGAACGCGATACCTCACACCGACTCGAGCGAGGATATTCAGGAGTATGAAAGCGCTCAACTTGACTCGACCAGACGACGAATTGACAAATTCGAATACCAGACGTAACGTAATGACGACTTATCCACAAAACGGTTTCGGGCGGAGCACATTGGTACGCGGCGGCAAACGGACACGACGATGTGTCTGGCTTGACCGCCGGGAAGAGACGACTTGGACGCCGACGGGACAGCCTACGAAGGGTACGCAACGGCCAACAACCCGGGGCTAGACTTCGGTGGCGCTAAAACGCGTCCGTGTTCGAACACGTAGAAAATCTTCTTTATATAATGTTAGTACAGTAGGTACTGAAAAATATATTTTTTTATATTGTGGAACTTAATCTTTGCACTAGGTTTTTAATTTTGAATATTAAAGATACTTTAACTACACAGTATAAAATAAGTCTATATCGACTTACCTAGTCACTTTATATGTACGTTATACGTACATAGACATCTTCAGAAAAGTCATTTAGGTACTCAACAAATTACAGCAGAATAGAATTATATTTAATTTGAAAAAAACAAGTTTGTACCATAGCCACAGGACACTCCCTAAAACGCCATAAAAAAACTAAAATTTAAGTATTTTAAGTTATGGTTTTCAAATATACTTATAGAAAACCCAAAAATCAGAATATTTGAATAAATTCATAATTAAAGGAGAAATGGGGTTTGAGCTTGCTTGGTGAATTATTCTGTATATAATTTATAATTGACAAGGAGGCCGTAAAGTGTTACAACTTAAGTATTGTTAGTCGTCACATAATCTAAGGATTATAGAATGCAATACAGACAAGAAGCACGAATATTGTTCAATATGTTCTTATAAACATTTAAAACATTTCGTAAAAAAACGAAAATGTAGTCAAATAAATAATAATTTATAAGTAGTCTGACAATGATAAATTTTCAAAATATAAAATCTAAAAAAAAATAATAGCCTTAACAGTCTGTCACAACTAAACAAGTCCAATGGTGCATATTATTTTACGAGTTACGACAGTTACTGAACAGAATTCATTCAGAAGTTAAAAATGTTTCAACTTTATTATTATCTTTTATTTATATTCTAAAGACTTCTTCGATCAGTTCAGTGAATTCTTAATGATATTATTGGATGAGAAAAACAAATCATAAATTATAATAGTGTACCTTGCGTATCACATCAAAATTCAAAGAACACAGTTAGAACTTGGCTAAAAGAATTGTAAAAGATAAAATGTATTATGATGTCAACCAAATGACAAACCACTAGTTATGCAATACGGATGTAGAAAACGATCTTGGTTCAATATAATTATTTTACAAAAAAAAATTACACTTGCAATTTGGCTTTATATTATGATTTATATTATAAAAAAGGTTTTTACAGAACAAATTCGTAATTTTAGAAAGATCATCTTTCTAAAATTACGAATTTGTTCTGTAAAAACCTTTTTTATAGGTACTTAAATGTTATAATATAAATGCATACGATGTATTTTTATTTTTACCTACGCATCTATATAATATGGTTATTGATTAAAGATTTTGAATTTCAATACACATACAATATAATAATAATAATAATAATAATAATAATAATAATAATAATAATAATAATAAAAGTTAACTTAATACATTAGCCAGTTTTACCTTTTTGGGTTGGCTATTTGCTTAGCATGTGGTAACATATGGTAACGTGCCACGCTTGGATGGTATCTGGTGATGTTTAGGTTGTGTGCTTTGACCCGAAGCGCCATATCATCGTCTTCGCCACCCCATCCCCAGAATATGTTACTGAATCCGTTGACCATTTGGAAATGCGTTCGGTTCATGCCTATCACTCCACCGAATATGTCCAAGTATGGCAGTCTGAACACACGTAGTTGAAATTATTATTGTTATTGTTATATTAATTAGTAATCACATTATGATGTGTGTGTGTGTGTGTGTGTGTGTGTGTGTGTGTGTGTGTGTGTGTGTGTGTGTGTGTATTCTAATAGAATAAATGCAATGGAAAAAAAAATTATTCGATTACCCTTCAACTTTGAGGATGGTTTCTGGTAATTTTAAATTTATTGACTAAATTGAATCATATTTTTCCTTATAATTGACTTAATAATCATAACTATTTTTAATTTTTATATTAACTAAAAACAATAACAGCAAAATAATATATAACTTAATGAACTTCTGAACAAAAACACAAAAAGACAGAAAGTTTTTAATTGAAATTATGAAAATATAATGTTTATTTTTGTTTAATAAATAATTTATTTCTTTTATTAATGAAATTAGAAATTAACTAATTTAGCAATCTAAGGTTTTCATGGAAATAATTCAAATATGCGTGTATTTTATTATACCTAATTTGAATATTTTTTGTTCGTCAATGTAACTAACATATCTTGAATGTTGTGAAATGAGGTCGGGAGAACCCTTTACGATATTAGTTATCCTGGGAATGATTCTGATTTCTCATAGTTAAGTTTTCAGTAACTCTGTAACGATGACATAGAAAATGTAAATAATTAAAAAATTATAAATAAAAAAAATAAAAACGGGTAAGTGGATGTCGCTCTGCTGTAAATTAGGTGTCCAGGAGGTCGCTGTAATGGATGTAATTAAATTTGAATTCAATGATATCATATCATTGTATACAAACTACGGTTCTGAGCTTAGACCTCCCGAATGCACCTACTAGATTCACTTCCCTGCCAGAAAAGCTTCTATTTAAGAAAATCGAAGCACTCGTGTAAAATCAATACATGCATCGCTCCTCTCAGAATACAATATCGGTTTTAATGATTTAAAATGATCTCTAACAAATATTTATAAATTGTTAAAAGATTTTGAAAATATAATGATTGTCATATTTTATTGAATCAACGGGTAGTGTAAAAGAGATAACAGACTACTACCGAAGTCGAAGTGTTGCTTATGTCACCGATCTGCAATATGTTGTCGATATAAACGTGTAATTGTTGACAGCCAAAAGTATCGATAAAAATTATTATGTGTGTATGTGACAGCAAATTTGGTAAGACATTTAGTTAAAATCAAACATACCACTTTTTTCGAAACCCTGTTTAATAGCTATTCAATGTTCGCATTTTAAAATCAATTATAAATGGAAAATAATAGATTTCAGGTAAATCATAAAAGAAATATATCATGTAAGTTTTCAGATTTCTCGTCGTACTATATTTTATCACAACGATGGACAAAAGATAAGTGCATATGTTTTTATCAAAAAATAATCTGTGTCAATTCCTTTTATAGGGGCTGAAATTAATTTGATATGGGATTTTCAGTATAAAATGTATTTTATTAGTTTGAAAAATTATGACTATTTAATAACATTTTTATGATAAAATTGATTGATATTTGAATACTTATAGGTACTCACACTGTATTTTATTCAATACTATACAGTAAGTACATTTCGAAAATCTTTCCCCATCAATTACTTTTGAGAGTACTTATATATTTAAAAAAATTGTCCTTTAAACATTATTGAAAACTAAGCTTAACTGGTTTTTTTGAATACAATGCAATATTATTATTTTAAAATGTATTATAAGTTATAATAATACATTGTAATTTTCAATACCGGTACTTCTAATAACCTGTGTCAGAATGTACGAAGCGTTTTGAGTACCCAACACCTATTCTATCTCTATCTTATTCAATGGTTAGAATATAAAAACGTATTGTTCGTGAACTACTTATATATACAGGACACATTACGTGGAGTAGGGAAAATTATAATTACCTTTGAAATTGGTGTATGAATGAATTACCTAAGGGAATATTTCATACTGTAAATGACTGTTAATCGATAAAGGCCCATTCTGAGCATGAATGTAATAATTATGTGTAATTAGTTCTATATTAATTTTAATTTGTTGTAAACAAAGTTTTAAGGTTCTCTTAAAGTTTGGGTTTTTCATAATTTCATTCATAAATAAGAAAATAAATGTACTTTTCAATGAACCTAATATCTATAGTATTATAATAATATGAGATCCGCTCTAGTACCTACTCTATCCCACTTGTCTAAACTTTAAATACTCATAATAATTAGTAAACTATGAAAATCATTCTAAAATTCTAAAATTTAAAATTCGATTTGTATACATCGAAGTACTTAAAATTATGTTTTGTTTGAACACCAAATAACAAATAGATGGTATCATTTGAAAAATTCAAAATATGATGACATTAAAAAGTAGGTAGGATAATATAAACTATTTTTTTTTACAAAAATTTTGTTTTGTAATAAATTAAAATTATGTAAAAAAAATATTTTTTGAAATATTAGGTAAGTGCTCTTCAATAAAACAACCAACAAGCTTATAATATGAATGACAATTAAAGCAGCGTTTTTTCATGTCCTTTCTTGGCTTGGGTATATAATTATTACTCGTTTAGTCGTATAAAAGGATTCGAGATTGTTCTAATTAACTATCTAAAGAGGGTACTTTTATAAGTAATTTTGAAAACTCTACGTTTTGGCGATTTATCCCTCGCATTTACCATATATTTATGCAGAACCTTTTCCTTACCACTATTATTTATTTTAAATGTACCCCACAAAAAACTTTATAAACTTCGAGTGATAACTGATAAATATAATAATACATGAAGTTGTGTTTTGGTTGTATAATTTATTTAAGATAAGACGATAACCCAATAAGTATATTTTGTATTATACATCATAGTGGTTATTTCAACGGAAAATGTTTATTATTTCTATAAATTATAATATTTTATGGAAAAAATGGTTTTTACTCTGTCACTTACAAGAGTACATTTTGGACCAAAACTTTTTACTGAAAACTGCATTATTAATATGAAACTTTATTATTCAGATAGGAGGTTAGATCGATTGGGGATTAGATTAATATTGTAAACAAAAGTTTATATGTATATTATATTTTGTTTAATATTCGATAGTTATTTCGAAATTTTTAGAAAAGTATTCGACTTTAGAATAGGAAATTAAAATTAAGAATAATTTCAATAAAAAAACTAAAAACAAAAAATATTGTTTTGTTTTAACTACTTAAAAGCGACGAAAATGTAATTTTTTTCAACAAGTATTTGTTAAGATTATCAATGTTCATTGTTAATAAAATAACTCAATGTCAGTGTGTACAATAATAAAACAATTAAACAATCTTATATGATTATAACTACCTGTAATGAAACTTGTCAATGGCTACTGACATGTGTCTTGGTTGATCGGGACAGCTGTATATGTTTCTGTCATTCTCTGGTATAAGGTCTACGTCATGGAAAAAGAAACAGTCAAAATCGTGTAACTTTAATGCTTCTGTAAACCCAACGTTCATTAACATCGCCCGGTTAAACAGTCCATCGTCTAGTTGAAGAAAAAAATTGGCAAAATTAGATCTTATCAACGTGAATCGTTTGTACCACTCTATTTATAGATTTTAATATTTTGTAAAGATATATTTTTTTTAAAATACGTATCATTCCTAGGTATAAAATGAATGACTTACCAAACTGTTCTACGATAAAGATAGTGTAATCCAACTGTTGTTTTGTTAAAAATGGATGAATATTTAAAAGGAACGTGCAGAGATTATCTAGTCGGTTTCTATAAGGCACTATAATTGCAATTTTATATCTCGCCTGACAGTCTAAAGGCATTTGTTGTCCACCTTCTAAAACTCTCAGCCATGATAATTGCTGAGCCACTTCTTCCAACGTTTCCTGAGCAGGTACAAGCAGACGCACTGTTCCATCTATAAAAATGAAAAGAAAAAAATCAGTTGTTCGTCATCAAGCATTATACTATGAAATACGATTAATTTTTGTGGAACGCTGAAACATAATAACCTTTTCAGGAGCTTTTGACATATTATTATGTTATGCGTTTATCCAAAAATGCATGATTTCACACAAGATTTATTTTTCCAAAAACTAAGATATTAATATAGTCATATTATATTTAAATCAAACAACCGTACATTTTTTTTATGTATGGATTAAAATTTAAACACTTAAAAGTTATTACTGATCAAAGAAATGTTAAAAATTCAATTTTTATGTATCAATATGAACAAAAAAAAAAAATGTTTTTATGCATAGGTAGTCATTATTATATACCATCAATTTTTTGTAACCATACAACTATACTATAAGTAAAAAAGTAATGAAGGTAGGTGTGTTAATTATTATTTGAAAAAATTGTAAGAATTCTTACTAATGAATTTCATACGAATAAAACAATTATAAAATTATGATTAATCGCTATATAAATGTCAAACAACAATTAGCACTAAAATTAGCACTTTAGTTTTAAAGGTCAAATGTTTATGCGCAATGAGTTCCGTTTACCTTTACTAATTATCATTTATGTTACATATACATATAATCAATAATTATTGGTAACTATTTTCACTCATATTTTTTTACAGCTAAAATATTCTTAACAGGTTTTACACTGAACTAATGATAAACCTTGTCAAACCACTTGAAGCAAAACGCAAGCAACTAATGTTTCGTTTCTGTTTACTTGACTTATTTTTAAAATCAATCATAAATCTCAAAAATAAAATACTATTATTTACAAAGCAGTTATCAGATCAGTATAATCATTTAAGTATTAGATCCTTCCAAACTAACAAATATCCACCATATTATGCAAGGCTTTTAGTTCATAGCCTCCAGACTTATCATTACAAGTATCTCACTGTACATGACAAATGTCGCTCTACACAGCGATCTAAAATTAAAACAATCTTTAAAAAAGTTACACTCAAAACTAGCAAAACACGACAACCCTTTCATTAAAAACCTTGTTTTACCCCTCATTACCTCAAAACATCAACTGTTGTCTTAAAATCTATTGGTCTATCGTCTATGGACCTATTATCATAATAGTCTAGTGTAAGGTTCTGTTATTGAATGGTCTATTTGAGCCTTATTCACGTGTTTCACATTTATCAAACTGCATGCTTTTAATTAATATATTTACTTATTGTTTATGTTCAACAGATTGTAATAATGTAATATAATTATAATTAATTTACAAATTTCATTTTATAGAAGAATTGTATAAGTTAGTAGATCAGTTGATTATGAAATTATTAAAAACTTTTCATGTACCAATTTATAAATTAAATTGCTTAATTATGGTAGCTATAAAGAAGTCGATTTCATTTATTAAGAACTATAAAATCAATTTTTAATCATAATATATTATTAATATTTTTAAATGTATATCAGTATATCGATGGATGTTTGGCTATAGTATTTCCTTTTAATATTTAATTATCAAGAAGTATATATTTAGCTTCATATTAATTTTAAGCCTATATTAAATTGCTTTTATAAGTATTCAAGAATCATGATATTTAAAATAAACTAAAACTCCAAAAGGACTTGGAGAAATAATAAACGAAAACATAAAAGAGGCATAAGGAATTAAACCAAAACATTAAAGTTGTGCTATATGTTTATGAATAAACGTCAGTATAAGATATTATTATAGCAAGTGAACAGAATTTTAAAACAAAAGTGCTGAATAGTGGTAGGTACTCTATTTATATTTCAAAGGAATTTTCATCAAAAAAATTAAACAGTATATATAGTTATAAAAAAATTGTTTAGAAATTCACAAGAAACTTATGGAAGATACATCAACCATTAATAGTGAAACACAATATGTATACCCGTTAGCATAATTTCACATTCTTAGAAATAATTGCAACAGTTTTTTAGCGGAAAAAATTCTTAAAATAAAAATTTAAAACTTATCAATTATAAAAAGTACACAAGATTGGGTTAAAAAACCGTTAATAATTAAAATTAGTTGAAAATTCCGTGTATAATTTCAAGCTTAAAATATACTGTATAACTTATCATTATTGGCTATTGCCTTTATATATTTGGAGTGCTAACAGACTTAAAGGCTTTTGGAAACTTCAAGGCGAAATGTTTACTTTATTATAAATTAATATCATTCTAATAATTTTGTTTATTCAGAATTTTCTACAATAAGTATCATTTATTTTTGTTCAGCTTGTATGGCAATATTAATTTTTAATAAATTCTGAATCACATATTGTACGCTTGTACAAACAACTGATAAGATAAGTACCTACGCATAAATTGCTTAACATGAGTTAAATGAAATATTATGTAATTTTTGTTTTTTAAACTTTACGGTAGTAAAATATATAACATAGACTGAAAAATAAATAAAAAAGTTGGTAATGTCGCATAGTTTTTTTAAAATGATTATTTTGCTAATCTGACATGCATTTAGTTTAGAATATAAAGTATTCTACATGTTCTATTAATCTTTTACTGAAATATGATATAATACAAGTTCAACATAAATCATAAATATCGATAAGAAATATTATGAAGCATCGTACGAAATGTTTACGTATGCGGACGTGTTAGGTACCTATTCGAATATATAATATAAGAATGGATAGTCCATACAACCTTATCACACGGATATTAATTGAAACATTAAAATATACATATACATGTATAACATAACATTGATATTTACAAACGACCCCTTGTGGAAGTGAGACACCGCTTTTCTCTCTTATACGAAAAACACTGCTACTCCCCCCAGGGTTGCATGCATTGGCCTATCCTTATGTTATCCACTCAAAAACAGCTTTACTATTAATTTTTTTTGTACATTTTATACTTATATCGATAGGTATTTTAATTAATTTAAAAATTAAATTTAAATCAAAAAAAAAAAATAAAAATGAATTTTTTTCATTAATAATAATACTATCCGTGAATCATGAGTAACAATCAAATTAATATTAATATTTATTGATCAAATTATTATGATTAACTGGATTAGAAGTGATGTAAAATAATATTAATAATAAAAAATAGGTAATCTTATACGCGTTCATAACTTATGATATCAAGTCTAATAAAAATTGTTGGATGATCATGGTTTGTACTAAAATTGATAATCAGGAATACTGCAGTACTACAAAATATAGTAAAATATAAATGTCCCAATTTCTAGGAAATTCAACAAATTTAAAAAATACATCCATAATAATAAATATTAATTCATTATCCATAATAATATATCATAGTTACTTTGAAACATTATTTATAATTTTATACATTTCTGGTTATTTGCCGTTGAATTACACATAATTTAATATTTTTAATAAATGTGTCCATAAGTATATTTAATTATACGTACACATATTCAAATACTCCTTTAATTTATTAGATTTAATGTAACATTATTATAGTGCCTAAAAGTTTATTTTTATTTTACTATTGCATTGTAGTTAAAAAATAGTTATTATATGACCTATGGTTCCTGAACGCATAAATAATGTTACACGTCACATTTGTTGAATGATAGCTAATGTGCTATCTATATTTTGCATAATTTCCTAATGTAAATGTCAAAACAACTGGGACGTGATTTAACGATTGCGTGCATTTATATTGTGTCGTGTATATAACAATAAACGTTTAAAATGTATCATTGCTGGTTGCTGCAATGAAAACATGAAAACAAAGTTAACTACTGCTGAAAATGTTATTATTACGTATTGTTATTATATTATCCGGTTAGCTTATAAGAATATTATCAAGCAACTAAAATCAATCATACAATTGTATTCACAATTAATTAGTATAAACTATAAATAGACTGAGAACAATTTATGATATTGCGTTAAATGATCAATTTTTTGAATCTTAGTTATAGACAAGGTGAATAGGTTGACTGAACGTTGAGAATTATAGGTACTCTACTCACACTATAGGGTAACATTAAATCTGTTAATTCATTTAATTTTAAACCCTTAATTTAAAATAACTATTATTAATATGATAAAAAATATTTTAGTAAATATTTGTAGGTAAATACAATACTAAGAGTTAATATTTAGAGCAAACACTTTAAATTAAATTGTTTAAATCATTTGAGATGAATTAAAATGTTTAAATAATGAATAAATTATGGTAAAACGGTTCCAATTATCTTTTAATGTATAAATTAAATTTTCTGGATTCAAGAAATATAAATGAGGATTGAAGTTTTTATGAAAAGTTAACGTTAAAAATTAGGTTCTCTGAAGAATTAAAATTTAAAATTAATCTGACATTTTATTAAAATTCAGTAAGTTTATTGATATTGTAAAATATTATGTACCTAACGACTAACCGACCAACAACAGAGCAAAACAAATCATATTAAATCGTATAGTTATTCTAGTTTACTTATGGATAGTCTTTGCAATTTGTTCACAATAATTACATTTAATAGTATCGACTAAAAGTACGTAACAAATGTATGTTTCATACAAATTGCAACCTACTAAAGAAAATTCTTTGGAAATAAAACTATTATCATTATATTTTAATAGACTAAGACTTCTTTTCTATTTTGTTAATCGTTTTGGCATAATTTAACGGTGTATATTTGTGTTCTAATCTGGATATTATACCTATTACAGTAAAATACGAAAAGGGGGAAAGTACTACACAATATAAGACAAGTGCAAGGGCGCCAATTGAAAGGGGGGGGGGGAGAGACATGCCTACCCTAGAAAATAATCAACTATGCAAAAAAAACTTAATATTCTTTGAATTTATATACTTATTTCATACTTGATACCATACTTGATACCTTTTAGTCAAGTATACCTCATCATTAAGTAAATCACAATAATGAATGTGTTAAATTTCAAATTTGAATTCAATGATGAATCATTGCATACAAAAAACGATTCCGAGTAAAAACGGTATGCCACCCAATGCCAATATTTATTAGTAAGTATTATGTAAGTATATAACGTTTGTTGAAAATTTAAAGTATGTAAGGTTATTCGTTTTTTAGAAATCGATTTTATTCTTCTTAAAAATTCTTATTTTTCCGAATTTTGTTTTTATTTTTCCCAATTATTAAGAGAAGTACAAAACATTTTTTACTTTTGACCTCAAATAGATTCACTTTCCTACCAATAAAAGGTATTGACTTCGAAAATCTATGTATTTTTACGGCTCCAGTAAGAGAGATAGCAGATTAAAAAAAAATAAAATTAAAAAAACCTATAATATCGTTGTAAAATCAATATAATCATCGCTGCACTCAGTACTTAAATTTATAATTGTAAACTTACTTAAATCAGGTGGAGTTTGTGGACACAGCGTAAGAAGATTTTTGTCTTTCGTCTCTTTAGTTTGAACATTATTATAAAACTGTAACAAAATTTAAAATAAAACCAGTGAGTAATATGTGTACTGTCTGATGGAGTAGGTACCAGACAGTTTTTGTGTTTGAAAGCAATAATAAAGCGTGCAGATAAAAATGTTTTGAATAAAGTTATAAAAAAATAAAAAATAATTTTGTTTTGCTGATTATTCTTGGTTTTTGTATTTCTAGTGTACAATTCACATTTAATATCTAATATATTTAGGCATGGAATGAATAATATTTCAATATCCTTTTGTTTTTTTTAACGTTTAGGTACATTAAAGTTCCTTATTCATTTAACTCCGTACATAACAGTGACTGTATGGTCCTAATCATTTAAGAATGAAAACTTTATTTTTGTAATTCAATATTTTATTTGTATGCAATTTTTGGTTATAAATTATATTTTAAATAAAATAATAAAAATAAAATACGATGGGCTTTGCCTATCAGAATAAGAGATTTTATGTTGAAATATAATTGATAATTTAATATTTGTAAACTGATTTCAAAACATTATAATACTTGTGTAGACAGGATGATGTAATGTGCAAAGTAAAAAAAAAATATTTATGGATAAACACTATACTGCAGTATAATACATTTTAGGTAATTAAAAGTTTTTTTTATCAAAGAAAATATAAATTAAATGTCACACATTGTAACGTGGGCATATAATAAACAAATCCGTGATAAGTTTTCACGATAATATTATGAACACGTTCGGTGTGCGTAATAAAAAAAATAAGAGTAAATGTTACATTGAAGTTTACAATAAAATGTGTCTATATTACATACACAGAGATATTTTGTTTACTTACCATAGTTTGAATACCGGAAAGATTGAGGTGAGTTATTGGCACAGGGTTGGTCGACGTGAAGTACTCTTGCGTTGTAGTTGTAATAAGATTGTCGAAGCGGCGTGTTTCGTTGTAATAGCTGACATATAAAAACTGCACCAGTAAATAGGCTATACCCAGTCCGAATACAATTTTTCCACGCGAGGGTGGTAGTATGGACATTATAGTTCAGTGAACATTAATAAAACCAAATGTTGTGCGTTTTATAGCTGAAAAATAAATATACATTTGGTGATTAAACGACAATTCCATATTGCAGTATAGCGTGATAATTTTGTGTTTCATTTTTTTTTTCCAAAAATTGTATGGTGTATGGTTACAGTGTGAATATTTATATTATTTGCATATGTAATATTTTCAAAGGCTCATACATAAATATATTTTGAAAAATTATCGACTTACATACAATTGTAAAAAGTTACGGTTTGATAAAAACATGAAAAACCAATACACAGTTATATATTTTGTTATTTTTTAGATTTAGACTGAGGTTTTTAGTTATTTCACTGGTTTTCATTATTTTAGTTATATTTTAGTTTTATGTTTTATACTTACTCAAAATGCATATAGTAGGAAATCAAACACACATTTAATTGAACCTTTAGCGCATATATTTTAAAATTCTCAAAGATTCTTTCTTATAGACAAAAAAAATATGTATTTTGTTAAAGCTCTATACTTATAATTTTATAACACTAAAAACAGTTGCCCAGTGCCCACCCATGTAACAAAGTAGGTTGTGATTTTTTTTGTTATTTTAATAGATAGGTATCGTGGTATATCTTTTAATGGCGTAAAAAAAATAAGGCTAGTACGAGATTTAAACATTATGTTAACTGTTAAGTGACCCACAAGTTTAACTGTAAAACAAGGTTTATTTAAGTAATGCAACATAAATACTAGTCATAAATGATGATAAAATAGAAGTGTGGTAAAGAAGTTGACTTCAAATGGTAAAAAAACACATAAAATAACCTGAAATACCCAAATGTTTATTCTTCATAATGTATATTACACTACTTACTACCTATATTGTTCATAGAGATTTTTGATACTTAGTATAATTTTGAACATATCAAAATATACACCTTTTAAAAATTAATATAATATTATGTATATGTTTATTTTCTTTTAACAATCTATATTTTAACAGTAAATACGATTATTGAAAATCAAGGTTGTATAGACATGACAGATAATTTCAAATAGTTTTCGAAATTTAATCCCGATGCGATGGTGGTGTGGTTGATAGCGATTACTTATTAGTTATTACTATTCGAAATACTATAATTTTATTTTTCTTAAAAGTTCATTTATACCTTATAATATTATAATCAAAATCAAAGGTCATATGATCTGTACCAGCTTTTTAATATTTTTATTTATGATATGCTTTGAATTAACTAAAGACTACATTTTATTTTTAAAACAAGCTACACAATTATAATGAATAAGTCTAAAAAAAGTTTTCAGTAGGTTATAACCCCTTTAATTTTTTTTTTTCAGGACATATATCTAGTTTATTTATAAATTATAATTAATTTAATTGTGAACCACTTTATGTAATATTACAAAACAACGTTTGATAAATTTGATCATTTTATAAACACTACATTGTATTGGATGTTAAACGTCAATAATATAAGTATTATAACTTAAAATGATTAATAATGTTTGTCCGTATATTTTTAAATTTGTGAAATTATCAATTACATTATTAACTAGGTACCTAGTATAACAAATAAGCTTTTGTGGGAGCTTATTGGTGTGCACGTAAGTTTGGTATACATAAATATGTGCATAATAAACAGCTGGCATAATAATTCCATACAAGGGTATAAATCCCATGTAGTACTTGCACATTATTTGGTATCAGTTTTGATATTATGATAAATTTCCAATTCAATAAGGAAACTTTTGACCATTTCTGGCTAATATACTCCGATGATTTACTGCGGGTAATAAAAATTTATTGATCCCGAAGCAGCCTAGCTCCAACGATTTGAGTTTAAAGTATTTGATAAATTTTGAATTGACAGTAAATTATTTCCGTTTAACTGTACTAATATCAAATTTATTGTATGCCACTGAGATTGATTGGTAAACTCTTTTATGTCATATGGATTTATCGTGCATTCCGCTCAATAGTCTCATCAGTTGTCACTCGTCATATTCTCCAAGGAAAAAAATGTATGTTTTACAACAAATCAAAATTTAATTATTAATCCCCTTCTACTCCATTACATATACAATAAACGTTACGTATAATATTTATAGGTAAATATTTTTACAAAACAAGAAAAGTGTTATATTTTAAAACATAATTACCTATTTATTTTTATCAAAATGAATAGATATGTAATTTTTTTATGAATAATATTAATATATTTACCTAATATAGTTATAATTCATAAAACTATAATTAATAACTATAGTCTTAGTTTTTTAGTAAGAAGTCAAATAAAACATTATTATTTATTAATATTGCATTGAAACTTGAAAGTTTTACTTACTAATAAATAAACTACTAAATAATTAGAATAACATTTTTTTTAAATATAATTTGTTTACTAAATTTCCAAGGAATTGCCAGAGTAAAAGTTCATGTAACTTTCATAACAATCCTTCTAACCAATCACATATATAATAAACTAACTAAAATCAAAAACCTATGCATTAATATTTCAGAGTCAATTTAAGATTCCTTGGTCCACTAAGAGTCAAATAATAAAATACATTGATTTGCGTTGAGGTCAGCAAGGCTATATAGCCTATATAGAATGTACACAATTCCCCAAACCCATTTTATATTTTTCTTCCTTGTAGTTATTCTATATTATAGTTCTTCTTCATCCATATTGAATTTCTAAAACGGTTCTAAAGAATATGATAGCAAAAGTTAGTGGTGACCTGAAAACGTGTACGTCAACTTTATCGAGCGAATTAATGCAATTTGGTCAACAACATTGACACGCTTATCCTCCCAAGTAGATTATATTATTATATAGAACGTAGACACTACCCTAATATAGTAATATGAACTGTATAAGTACTAGTATTGTAGCATTTCTAAGCTAAACATTGGTTACCATCAATTATTGAAGTACATAAATAATTAAATTGAGACAAACACACAATTATAATGAACACTTTTAATCTACCCCTCCCGGTTTATACCACTATACAATTCAAGATTTATAAATTATGCGATGGTAAAACCAGAGTAAGTAGCACTACGAATGAAGCATATTATATTATTTTTTGCAAATTGTGAATATTGTGATCAAAGAACTGGCATAATTTAATGATATACATTATACAAGAAACGGAACAATTCTAGTTTAACAGCCTATCGATTTTTTTGATTTTTTTTTCTTAAAAAACATGCAAAAACACACAATAAAAAAAAAAAAATAATAAAAAAATCGATAGGTTGCTAAACTAGAATTATGACTAATAAACAAATACAATAGTCAATAATAAACACTTATAAGTGACAAATTTAGTATTGTAAAATAATGAATATGATTCATCGTTATTAATTATGTAATACGTTCAATTATAGCTTACCACAGGAGCACAGGATTAAAATTTACTTATTAAAAATAAACTCCTTATAGTTTAATACAAAATAATAGTTCATTTAGGTTTCTGAACATAAGTTTGGAACACCTATTACCACCGTTGCCCGTCCGTCCGTTAGTTACTAATACACAGTTACGTTTATTTGTATTAAGATTTCATGACCTTAGTTCTATTCAATGTGAGCTCATACTAGCCAATATTAAAAAATATCAAAATATGAGCAGGTATTTAATTATAGGGGCTCATAAATATCTGGTGTCAGGATAAGTGTAAAAACAATATTATTTAATTTACCGAATGACGATGAATTATATTTAATGAACAGTAACAGTATTTAAATAAAACAATTGACATTATAAAATCGACAAAACAATATTAAATATACAAATAATGAGAGTGTACGCAACAGAGCGGCGGACTCAATGTTATCGCGTCCCTTCTGTGTGTAGAACTAAAATACAAACGAAAATAATATAACAATAATATTAATAATAATGATAAGCTCACGGTATCGCATTGGGTGCGTTGTCATGAACCGTTCATAGTAATGATTACTACATAATATAGGTTTATAGTGGCCTATATTAACAAATAGGTCAAAAAATATAAATGTTACCAAATAATGATGTTTAAATTGTACAATATGTAATCATATAGTTAATTGCGTTGCATTAAAATACGTTTATAGACCGAGAATTTAGCACGCTTACAGAGTGAGATTTCCGAACTTGTTTATTTTTAATCTTATTTTGTCACCCAGGAAATATGTTTGACCTTTTTTAAAATTTAAATTTAATACACAAAATATAAGATTTTATTACGCATACAACCAGTTTGATATTTGATTTAGTCTTATCGATTATTAATCAAACCAAATAATTGAATACATAAAATCAGATTTTGGTCAGTATTGATCCCTGGTGTGGAATGTAGTTTGACAATTCTTCGTGCTGGTCGTTCAACAATGTATGAATCCGAATGGCTTATTATTTCTAAATGTTCTTTTTTTGTACATCGTCAACAATTCGTTATTTTTTGGCCTACTTTATATGGCCAAGTATGACACATGTTAAGCATTAATTTATTACAAAACTTATTTGAAAAAATGTTTTGTATTTATCCTTTTATGTGAATGTGAATAAGTATAAAATATTTACATATTTACTTTGATAATAACATTCATAAAATATTTAACTCGTAGTTTTTCCCCTTTCGATCTAAAGTTTACAGTCAATAAGGTCGTATAATTTAATAATTCAATAAAAGTGTAGAAAGTTTTTACCGTTACTAAAGATGAAAAAGAAATAAAATATTAAAAACTGTCAACCGTTTTATGCACTATAAAAATATTTTTCTTATTTATAAAAACATGTTACTTAGTAAACTAAAGGTAGTTTTTAAAAAAAATTATGAATTTGATTTTTAAGTAATTGTTTTAGTATTAAAAGTTTTAATATCCACTTATACTAGTATAATATGTATTATAAGTTAATTTGTAACAGTCGTTTTACTTTATGAAAAGCTGAGTTTTGTTTAATTATTTTTATAACCTAATATTTATTTTGGAAAACGGTTCATTTATCATGTGAGTATTGGTTGAGACAGGTTAGAAATAAATTCTCAA